GCTGACCTTTTGGTTAGCAGCTGAGCCCTTAACCACTGCGCCAGAAGGCTCTTTTTTACATCTCAAGTGATGGTTATATGAGTATATTCACTTTATGAAAATTCAAGGAATTATACATTTATGTTTTGTGTGCTTTTTTTTCATAAGAATGTTATACTTCTATAAAATGTTTTCTTAAGTTTTAAGGGAGGAGACTAGTGAAATCCATTTAAAAGTTTCTGAGTTCTTTTCACCCTTCTCTTATGAAAACGATAGGGACCCCTGAAGACAGAACTTTATCTACCTTGTTCTTCCATGGGGCATGTGCTTGGCATGTCAGAATTACACTAGAGAAATGTACTCTAAATCTTTGTTAACATTCATTGTTCGATATTTCACTGGATAATATTTGATATATCAAAAAGTATATTGTAGTTTTTAGCAACTGTTGTGTGGAAACAAGGTTTTTTTTTTTTTTTTTAAGGCTAGAATGGACTAGTATTTATGTAAATTGAACACTACCCTCAACACACACACATTCCCTCGTTAGTCCAGGTGTATAGAACAGAGTTAGAGTTAGAATTTAAAACCAGGTCTAGTGACTCCAAGATAGAATTCTTTCTTTGGTGCTGTGCTGCTCTTTATCTTCAAAAGAAAAAAAAAATTTTTTTTTTTGAATAAGAAATAGCTAAATAGTCAAACTTCATGAGGTACAGGTTGAAAATTACAGTATAATTTTCAGTAGGTAGAAAAGCCAGATTTTTTTCTTCTTATAATTCCCTGTTTTTACCCCATCCAGTTCTTTATATTTTTCTTGTTCCTAGGTACTAATATGAGAGGTACTTCTAGGATTTGACAATTACAAAGGCAAATAAGCTACCAGTTTGGTAAAAGAAAATGCAGATAATTCACATAAAGGGAAATAAAGTCAGTAAACAAAATGGAAAGATGTTTTTTATGAAAAATTCAGATTTGACCCACATTACTGTATCGTTTTGTACCTGTTGATATAGTAAAATTTTAAAACAATAGCAACACTTACTGTTGATAATGCAAAATGGTGTGGGGGTTTAACCCTTTTTGGGAGGGAGGAAGGTGATGTCAGTGCATCAGTCTGTCATTTGACCTAGTAACTTCACTCCTTGGAGTGTGTTCAAAAGAAATAGTTCAAGAAAGCAAAACCCATAAGCACACGGATATTTCTTGCCTTGTTATCTATAGCTGACAGAAAATTAGATATAAATGTCCAGTAGGGAATAGTCTAGTAGATTATGTTACAGCAGCAGGATACAGTAACTAGTATGTGCCCATTTGTATTATTAGGAAGACTGTATAATTACAGAGAAATACTAGCTATCATAAATGAAAAATGGATTATAAAATAATAGGTATGTATACTGATTATAACAGCATAAAAATACAAAGTTATCTAAAAGGTATAGAGTTTTATTTTTAAGATTGTGAGATTATTACTATTTTTATTTTTAATAGCAATTTTTTTTTTGCAGTTTATCATCTATTAGAAAAAATTATAATGACCAGTTTTTGATGAGTTATGCATTTTGCCATTAGTGCTGCCTGCTTACTTTGGTACATTCATTACTTTTTCAGAGACTTTTAGTGTAAAAGTAGTTGAGAATGAGTGTTCGACTAGCCCATCCGTCATGCCTGTAATATTTGTTGACTGACTGGTTATGTAGATGAAAAGCCATTTCTCATCATTCATCAGTTTTGTGCACATTTTGGGATTTCTTTGTTTTAAATTTGTCTTGCTTTTGTAAGTATAGTGACATTTTTCATCAAGTCATTATAGGCTATAATGGGTACCAGTGGTGCTTGGTAAAATGAGTTGTCCCCTCTTGTTCTGCTGAGCAAGAGAGTCTAGGTCTTTTAAGCCTGTGAGGGTGTGGAATATGTCTGTCATTGAATCCATAAAACTTGCACTTAGTATACAATAAATATTGTTGAATGAGTCTGAAGATCATGATTTGAATCAGTATCTATGCCATTTAAATAGCAGTGTGTGGTTTTAGGCAGTTCTCTTAGGTAATCTTTTTATCTTTATTTTTTTTTTTACTACTTTATTGAGGTATAATTCACTTACAGTAAGCTACACATATTTAAAATACACGGTTTGCTCTTTCTCCTTCCTCCTGAACCCCTGACAGCCTCTGATTTTTTACTGCCTATAGTTTTGCTTTTTCCAGAACGTCGTATAGTATAGCGTTTTCAGACTGGCTTCTTTCACTTACCAGTATGTGTTTAAGGTTCCTCCACGTGTTTTTGTGGTTTAATAGCTCATTTCTTTCTGTTGCTGAATAACATTCCATTGTATGGGTAGACCAGAGTTTGCTTGTCCACTTACCTATTGACAGACACTTTGGTTGTCTCCAGTTTTTGGCAGTTATGAATAAGATTGCTATCAACATCCATGTGCATGTTTTTGTGCGGACATAAAATTTTCAACCCATTTGGGTAAATACTTAGGATTTATGGATTCTGTGGTAAGACTATGTTTAGCTTTGTAAGAAACTGCCAAACTGTCTTCCAAAGTGGCTGTACAATTTTGCGTTCCCATCAGCAATGAATTAGAGTTCCTGTTGCTTTATATCCTCACCAACATTTGTATATTTTGGGTACAAGTTCTTTATTGGTTCTATGTGTTTTGCAAATATTCTCTCCCAGTCTAGCTTGTCTTTAAGTGTCTTTTGCAGAGCAGAAGTATTCACTGGTCACTCCAGCTCACCGACGTTCTCTCTCGTGTATCGTGCTTTTGGTGTTATTAGCTAAAACGTCATCGCCAAATCCAGGGTCACCTAGATTTTCTCATGTGTGATCTAGAAGTTTTATAGTTTGCGTTTTACATTTAGTTCTGAGAATCTGTTTTGAGTTAATTTTTGTGAAAAGTGTAAGGTCTGTGTCTAGATTCATTTTTTCTGCATGTGGATGTCTAGTTGTGGCACCACTTGTTGAAAAGAGTATCCTTTCTCCATGTCATTGCCTTGGCTCCTTCGTCAAAGATTAGTTGACTCTATTTGGGTAGGAGTGTTTCTGGGCTCTCTGTTCTGTTCCATTGGTCTGTTTGTCTGTTCTTTTTCCAATACCACACTGTCTTGATCACTGTAGTTTTATAGTAAGTTTTGCAGTTGGGTAGTGTCCTTCCTCTGACTTAGTTCTTCTTCAGTATTGTGTTGGTTTTTCTGGGTCTTTTGTGTTTCCATATAAATTTTCAGAATTAATTTGTCGATATCCACAAAATAGCTTGCTGGGATTTTGATTGGGAGTGCATTGACTGTAGATTGAAGTTGGGAAGAACTGACATTTTAACAATATTGAGTCTTCCTATCCATGAACATGGAATATTTATTTACATCTCATTTTATTTCTTTAATCAGAGTTTTTGTAGATTTCCTCATATAGATCTTGTACATTTTGGGTGGTGCTAATGTAAGTAGGGAGCCCTTGTGAAGCAGCAGTTAAGAGCTTGGCTGCTAACCAGAAGGTTGGCAGTTCGAATCCACTAGCCACTCCTTGGAAACCCTGTGGGGCAGTTTGTGTTGCAGTTTTAATTTCACATTTCAATTGTTTATTACTGGCATAGGAGAAAGTAATTGACTTTGTATATTAACCTTATATCCTGCTGACTTCCCTCAGAGGGCATCCATGCTGGAAGCCACAGTCTTTTTTAACTTCATATCAGAATTGACATTTCATCACCTTTGCTGTATTCTATTTGTTAGGAGTGCGCCATTTAGTCCCTCCCACACTTAGGGGAAGGCTGCCTAACCTGGTGAGAAAGCAGACAGAATTTTGCCCAGCAGATGATGCCCTCCTCCTCCCTTTCGCAACAGCCTGTCCTTTAATAGAACAGTGCCTCGTAACAACCTAACAATCATATGGGCAGTCAGGATGGTGAATCTTGATGTATGTAAAATGGAGACTATGAAGATAATCAGAAATTAAAATTTCCTCGTTTTCAGATGCCAGTGGGCAATTTTCTTTTTCAGTTTTAGCGTGGTTTAATGAAAAAGATTGAGGTTGTCACTGAGAGGATATGTAACTTTTCTTGTTATAAATGGAGGATATTAGTGGGTTCTCTTTTAGTTGTGTATGTTGTAAATTTTCACCTTCTTTCATGTGAGACTTTGTATAGTCCGTTATGAATTATATATGCTGGCACATGTGGGATGATGACTAAAGCATTTCTTTACACAATTTAAAATTATCTTGTCTTTTGAAAGTACCAAATTAGTTTACTTGGTATACCAGACTTTCTTCCACCGGCACTGTGACTCCTGAGTATGCATCAGAAGAGATACAGCTTAGCTTTGAATTCTGTCCCAGAGCGACTTGTGGCATGCCTGTAATGCACTAGGTGCTAAAGGGAGTTTACAGTCTGTTTTGGAGTAAAAGAGAGATTGAGATTTACAGATTGCTTGTTTGGGTAGAATCATCAGTAGAGATTGGTTAAATAAATTAAAATACATTGTGTAATAAAATATCGTATAGCTATTTAAAAAAAAAGAGGTATGTGTTTGTATGGAAGGAGTGCCAAGAAACACTGTTAAGTGCAAACAGCAAGGGTACAGAACAGCATGTCTAACACGCGGAGGGTGAGCTTTGCGAGTGAGAGTAAAGGATCTGTCTGTGCATGCATCAGTGAATCTGTGGACATTTTTTGCAAGGCTATATGAGAAACTGTTGATGGTGGTGTTACTGCTGAGGAGTAAAACTGGAGGTCTTGTGTAGGAGAAAGATTCACTTTTCATTATATGCCTTTAAAAACCAAACAGTGCACATAATTTTTGTTTAAAAAATAATCAGTCTGTGAACATTTCATTTTAAGAAATGTGCACTTGTGTCTGATAAAGTATGTGTGTGCATATTCTCCACAGCTACTTTAGTGGCACTAAGTACTGCAGTGGACACATTCGGAGGAAAGCTGGCCTGTGCTGTCAGGTCTGTTCGTCAGAGTCTTTGCTGGCAGAGGCTCATCGTTACTTTTCTTCTTTTCTTTACAGGGAGACCAAATTTTGAGGAAGGTGGACCAGCATCAGTGGGGAGAAAGCATGAATTTATCCGATCAGAAAGTGAAAATTGGCGTGTCTTTAGAGAGGAACAAAATGGAGAAGATGAAGATGGAGGCTGGCGACTAGCTGGATCAAGAAGGGATGGAGAGAGGTGGCGGCCTCACAGTCCTGGTAAGAGTTCAAAGCAGGAAGGGAGTGAACTAAGCGAGGGCTTGGTGGAAATTGTTAGCGATTGAATGAAAAAGATAAATTGCTTAAAAAAAAAAAAAAGAGTCATAGTAGGTATCATGCTCAGCCTTATTATTACAAAAAATTTAAATGTAAAAAAATCCCCATCACATCTATTCAGTTGATTGAAATCACTTCTCTTGTTTTTTTCTGGGGCAAATTGTATGGTTTAATGGAAATCACCTGGTCTCTACTGCAAAAATGAGAGAGGGCTTCACTCAATTTTCTCTAACTCTAGATCTCTGAATCTTTGGTTCAATATTCTTTAAAACTTATAGATGTATAATTATATGCTTACTTAGGAATATGTGCCCCCCGTAGTCCCCTGTGGTGTCTTTTCTGCATAAGAAAGGACTTATTCTTTCCTTTTTTCCCTCCTGAAAATGTGATTTATTATTTGAAGAATAACCTTTAAACCCAGGTCAAAAACATAATCACAAGTTTATTTTTTTGTCCCTCTAACTTTAGAAAAAGGAGAGAGTATACTAGTGATCAGTGGTTTTTAAAGTTCTTTTGTTTGACTCTTGAGAATGCTTCAGACTGTTCTTCTCGGTCATTGGATATGCTGGTAATTGAAGACACTGGTGCTTTGTGTTAAAGCTCATCCCCTACCAAAGTGCTGATTCTAGGCCTCGTGATAATCAGACGCAACTGTAGTGTAGAGTCATGGGGTCGTGGAGCACTTCAGCATTCAGAAAGTGCATACGTGCCTTATAAATTTCATGTCCATAACAATATTTCTCAACCATGTGCCAAGGAAGCTTACCTTTAGTAAATTGTAATGATGTAATGTAACAAAATAATGTAAAAATTATTTTTAAATTGTTAGCGAAACCATTGGTCTAGGCTTAAGTGAATATTATAATGGGCATGCAGAGTATTTTGTGGAGTTGTAGGTGTAGAAGCATAGTAAATTTAACCTTTAGGCAGAGTTAATAGACTGTCACACCAGCTCCTGAAGGCTGCCTCTTGGGTAGGTTTTCTGTTGTCAGTGGGCATTGTTTACGTCACAGGGTCTAGGCAGTTCTCATCAGTCTGTGCCCTGGGCAACCAGATGTTATCGTTCTCTTCAAAGCATCTGGGCACTTTGTGCTGAGCTTGCCTGTAAGCAGAAGGGTTTGTAGACTATGTTCCCAACAAGCATTCAGTGAAAAGAATGGACAGGATCTGGGCTGAGAGAGAAGAAAAATTCCAGCTGATCAAAAACAAACAAGGTGAATGTTTTGGAAGATGAATAGTGTTTCTGAGCCCAAATGTCTGATGTTGATTCTGTTAAAGGGAGTTAAACAAAGTAAAATTTAGTGTTATACTCTACCACTGACTTCCCGCCCAGCAGCTTAAATTTTGGATAGGTAGTGTCCTTTTCTTCTTTAATCTTTCTTTCTGCCTAATGTTTGACTTTTATGTCAGTTGTATTAGTCATCAATTGAGCAGTCTTCCAAACATTTTTATTCATACTTTTCCCTTTTAAGACACTTCGGAGGATAAAGAGATATGTGGGGCTGAAAAAAACACTGTAACGCCTTTAAAAAAAAAAAAAAAAAGCATCTACTTTTTTTCAACTTAGCATGTTGAGAGTTTAGGCTGATGATATCAGGTTTTATAAGTGAACTCGTAATATTTCTTATACTATTAAAGAACCCATTGCCATTGAGTCAATTCCAACTCATACTGACCCTGTAGGACAGGGTAGAACTGCCCCGTAGGGTTTCTAAGGCTATAAATCTTTATGGGAGCAGACTACTGCATCTTTCTCCTGAAGAGGGGCTGATGGGTTTTAACAGCTGACTTTTTGATTAGCAGCGGAGACTTTTAACCACTGCACCACCAGGGCTTCTTTCTTATACTATAGTTAATCTTTTATTAGAATGCAGGGAAAATTTTACATGTAATTATTTTGACTGATTGTCCCTTATGAAAATAGTGTCAGACTTTAGCTCAGCTGTGAAGTCTGTAAAGCAGTGGTCAGTCTTAATAAGCTATGCTGCAGGTCAGCCTTCCCTGCTACATTTGCCTCATAAAGAAAATTTTATTAACTTCTGGTAAGACAACAACCAAATTGGGGACTATTGTTTTATTAAAGTAGGGCTCACAGCTGGATGTGTGTGGAGATTGGGGTATGACTAAGGACAGCTGAGCATCTACTCTGGGAGAGTTGAACTTAGGAAACTGAGTGGGTGTCACTTGCCAGATGCCTAGAAGGATAGATTCATATCATGTTGCATACTTATAGACTGTTTGGAAGTGGTAGTTGTAGAAGACATAGTAGTCAGGGATTCAATGTTTGGTCATGAGTACTCCTGTTGAGTAATGGCTCTAGGTTTACGTTTAAGCAATCTGGTTATAAAATTCCTACTTTGATACTATAATATACCCATTGCCGTTGAGTCGATTCTAGTTCCTAGCAACCCTATAGGACAGAGTAGAACTGCCCCCATAGGGTTTCCAAGGCTGTAATCATTACGGAAGCAGACTGCCATATCTTTCTCCCATCCTGCTTCCATGGAAAGTAGTAAATAATGTTTGTTTTTGTTGTAAGTTGGGTGGGGAGTGTGGGAATAATACCTTTTTGTAAGTGGCTTCTCGGATGCTACTTCTATCGGGCATTTTAACGCATTGCCCTTTGGGTTTCAGTTTGATTCCTAGATCGTTGGCTTCGGTGAATTAGGCCTTAATAGTACGAACATTTAACTTCGGCCTCATTTCGTGTCTCTCCCACTGAGAAAACAGTCAAGGATAGAAAATTTTAATAGTTTAAAACCTACCTCTATCTTTTAGACTCTCTTAGACTCAGGCTTATCCGGTTTTAACGATAGTTTCCTTCTATCGCCCTTTCTTTTTAAAATACCTTAAGTAGGATCTTTTATTCTTAAACCACTGCCGCTCAGTGATTCTGACTCCTAGCAGCCCTCTAGGACAGAGTAGAACTGCCCCATAGGATTTCCAAGGCTGTAAATCTTTACAGAAACAGATTGCCACATCTTTTTCCCGCAGAGCGGCTGACCTTTCGTTTAGCAGCTGAGCACTTTAACCACTGTGCCACCAAGGCTCCCTTTTATTCTGAGACAGTCTTTTTTTCTGTTGGAAAGTAGATACAATAAATAGTATGCTAGGGTGTATTTAGGAATGTCCCCGGGGGTATAATACAGAAATGAAAACTCCCTAGGGAGAGTTAAGAGATGAGAGAAAGAGAAAGGAGAGCCAGCATGTTATTGTGGAAAATGCAGTAGATGTAGAATTGGATTCTGGTTCTGCCTTGCCAGTAGTCAAGTTATCAGCACTTTAGTTTCTTCTTCAACTATAAAATTAGGATAATGGGTTATATATAATCTCTGACACCTCCTAGCCCTATAATTCTGTAACTTAACTTTTTGTAGGGAATCAGGATCAGAGATGGGAACCGGCACTAACAAGCAGGCACGAAGAGTTTGATGTTAAGCACTGGCTAGTCTTACCCATAAAGAATGATATATTCTTGGGAAGAAAGAAAATGCTTTAAGATTTGCCAAAGGGAAGGCATGCACTTTAGTATGGGAAGAGCCAACGCTATAAGTCTGTGCTAGGTGTAGGCCTTCTGGGTGGCTAATCAGCATTTTAATGAGATGCCTAACGCTTATTAAAGTGCATACTTTGCATAAAGTGTCCTTTAAAAGTGCTTTGTTTTAAATTTATCTTTTAAAGTTATAGACTATGTCCAATGACTTAGTCCTTAATGAAAACAAGTACTGTTGTCACGTAGTGATGGTATATATACTCGAAACTTCATTGAATTTGCCTGCTTTTCTTATAAGTTAGTAGACTGATCATTTGAATTTGCTGTTAGTTGCAGTTTTCTCCTTTATTTTCTACCCGTGGTTTTCTTTTTCAAGTACTAGCATAAGGCTCTTCTAAGGTTTGTGTCCTCCACCTCATCCCAGATGGCCCTCGTTCTGCAGGCTGGCGAGAACACGTGGAACGACGGCGAAGGTTTGAGTTTGACTTTAGAGATCGGGATGATGAGCGGGGTTATCGAAGAGTGCGCTCTGGCAGTGGGAGCATAGATGATGACAGGGATAGCTTGCCTGAGTGGTGCTTAGAAGATGCAGAAGAGGAAATGGGCACATTTGACTCGTCTGGAGCATTCCTCTCTCTAAAGGTGAGAGATTGCTTTTCAGTGTCATGACACAGGCATTGACCTTCTCCCAAAGCCGTATGTGCTGTTGACCTCTGGTTTTATTTTCTTGGCACAGAAAGTACAAAAGGAGCCTATTCCAGAAGAGCAGGAGATGGACTTCCGGCCTGTGGAAGAGGGGGAAGAGTGCTCTGACTCTGAGGGTAGCCATAATGAAGAAGCCAAAGAACCCGATAAGACAAATAAGAAAGAAGGAGAGAAAACAGATAGAGTAGGAGTTGGTAAGGCCCGTTTTTGTCTTTTACCTCTTTTTCATCAAGCTGAACTTTCCTAAATTGTTAAGTCAAGATTACTTCGTGTTACAGAAGTTAGTGAAGAAGCACCTCAAACCTCTTCGTCATGTGCTAGACCAGGTACTCCTTCAGACCATCAGCCTCAGGAAACACCACAGTTTGAGAGGAAAGAGGAACCCAAAACTGAGCAAACGGAAAAAGCTGAAGAGGAGAGTCGAACGGAAAATAGTTTACCAACCAAAGTGCCCAACAGAGGGGACGGTATGTATTTGTGAGAGTAGACCAGCTAAACTAGGATTCTCCTGAGGCCAATGAGCACTGATATAGTAGACTTCTATTTATGCCTTCTGGAAGTGCTTCTTTTGGGTGAGTTGTTGGAATTGATTGTTTTACCAGTAAACCTAGTTAAACAATGCTTCCCATGTATGTATCCACCCCAGAATTCACCAAAACAGAGTTAGAATCTGCAGGAGTAGAGCTCAGGAACTTCACCTCCTAGGGTATTATGACATTATAATAATAATAATGTCAACCTGGCATCAGTCTGCCAAGCTGGGCTCAGGGACCTCTGCGTTAATTTCATTCCACATGAGACAATTACCTTCCTTCTGTGTAATAGCTAGATGTGTGCCCAGCCTAAGTTACCAGATGAAACACCAAAATGCTATTTTCCAGAAGAGGCAGAAAAGAGAATGTGGTTGAATCCGTGCAAGTGCATCACTTCTGCTAGAGAATAAGCTTAAAGCATACCTCCTTTTTGTACTAAAAATAGCATTAGTAACTATTTTTAGCTAATGTGACTGGACTGATTTTTATATTGCTCATACATTACCATGTTTCCTCTTTTACATATTAAAAAATAACACTGTAATACCTGATGTTGATGGGTTAATTCTGTGATTCATTCACCATAAAAATTCACACCTTTGACATGGCCTACAAGACCCTGCGTGGTTTGGTGTCTGCCCCGCTCTGCAGCTTCAGCACTGGCCTCTGTCTCCCTGCTACTCCCCTCAGCAGCCTTCCTCAGAGTCTGTCAGGTCCTTAAATGCACCCTGTTCGCTTGCCTTCCTTCCTCAGCGTTTTTTATGCCTGATGCTTCCTCCCACCCCAAAACCCTAAGCTAGGTTAGGTGTCTCTCTTAAACAATCAGCACGATTCCTAGCATAGCGTTACTATATTACAGAGATCCATTTATTGCCTTTTTTGCACAATAGACTAATATTTTGAAGGCTTGAGCGAGGAATTTCTTTTCAGGTTTTTTTTTTTTTAATGTCTAGAACATAGCTGAATGAATGAATGCATTTAACAAGTACTTGAATCTCTACTATATATATCTGATACTGTGGGACTGTAGCTTGGAACATATTTTGTATGTAATAATGGTTTTTCAGCTATGATGTGCCCCAAAATTACTTACGCTGCATTTTTTTGTACATACCTCCCTGGGCCTTATTTTAGAAGATTTTAGGATGGAGTCCGGGCATATGTATTTTGAGAAAGCTTTAGAGATATGTGTTAAAGATTGAAACTCTAGATTCATAGTCTGTAGGGGACATAGAACTTGTATATATTGATAATCCAGGGCAAAAAAGTAATGATGTGAGTTCCCTGTTGGCAGACTCCTGGAATGCTTCAGGAAGCAAGTGGTGTTTGAGCTCGTCTTTGAATAATGGGTAGAATTTGGAGATAGGTGATAGGATGAATTGGGAGAGGGCTTCCTAGGATTAGGGAACAGTGAAGGCAAAGGTGAGGAGGTGGGACTGCTCCAGGCATGGGCAGGAATTGGCACATATTTTTGTCTAGATAGAGTGTGAGGTGTGAAAAGGAAAATGATGGGAAAGATGGTTGGAACATGGCTTTGGCAGCTGTGTGTCGGGCAGCTTGTGAAGAGAGATGGGCTGCGGCATGGCCTGTCAGGCTCCTGAGCAGTCAGTACTTTGTAGGCACTGCACCCATCAAGGGAGAGGGTTGCGGGACTCTGTAGGCACTGCATCCTTCAAGGGGAGAAGGTTGCGGGGCTCTCTGTAGGCACTGCACCTGTAAAGGGAGAAGGTTGCGGGGCTCTCTGTAGGCACTGCACCTGTAAAGGGAGAGGGTTGCGGGGCTCTCTGTAGGCACTGCACCCGTAAAGGGA